TGAAAATTATATAGAATCATGCCATGTGCATAAATAGTTAGTTATACTAAATATATTAGTTTCAAATCTCACAAAATCAGAATATTACAAAAATGTAAGCCCTCTGAAAATTATATATAATCATGCCATATGCATAAATAGTTATTTATACTAAATATATTAGTTTCACTTTTTAATTTGAATTACTGAACATGAACTTTTGCACAATATTCTAATTTTTCAAGTTTGACCTTTAAGTTTAACTTTTAGTTGCATCAATTACTACATCAAAACCAGTTCATCTCTCAATGGGCTTTATGCCCAGCTGCACTACTTCCTGAACTTCAGCCAGCTCCTTGTTTCCTGTCTGCCATTATTGGTCAAATTGATTAATTCAGGTGTGCTTGACCTCAGTAGTCATGGCAACAATAATCAGACACGCCTGAATTAATCAATTTGGCCAATAATGGCAGACAGGAAACAAGGGAGCTGGCTGAAGTTCAGGAAGTAGTGCAGCTGGGCATAAAGCCAATTCCAATCTACAAGTTTTGAGTTTTACAGAAATTCATTTCCTGCAGCAAAAAAAAAAAAACAGTCCTGCGAGGAAAATCCTGTACAAAGATCTTCGGAGTAAAAGCCCAGCAGTTCCCCTCGTCTTCCTCTTCCCCTGTACCCTGGTGGATAGGACTTAAAAAAAGCTCCAAGCATTCCCTGAAGCTGTAGATCCGGCGAAACTCATCACAGTAGTCCGGAGAATTTTTTTTCCAGTTGACCACACCTTAAAATGTAAAGACAAAATACAGAAAAAATATAAGTGTGGAGATTCAAGTTTAAATGTCACATACCACAAATTTCAATCCAAGAAATGTACATTGAACAGAAAAAAACATCTTACAGTCTGGCCAGGCAAAGTGTGCTGCTTTCTGGAAAATTTCATTCGTGACCACATCCCTAAACCATCTGCATACCAGTGAAAGCGTCAAATATGCAGAATCACCAGTTGCTATTATTTCATGGGGAAGCTGTTGAAACAAAAAACATTGTTATTTATACTTGTATATAAATGTTGTTGAAAAAAATATAAACCTTGGTTCAGACAAACCTGATATATTGTTGTCATAACTGCATGCTCTGAATAAAATAATAAATAAAGAGATAAATATTCTCTTATAACGATAATATTAAAATAATATCGCTCCAACACACATTAGCCGCTTTCCCCACTGTCGGGCCAGGGCTTTCAAGGGTCGGGCGGTGTTAATAGCCTTGGACCTGTATCACAGAGCACAAAATCACACTGTGTTTCCACCATTAGGACAGAAGCTCTGCAGCGCTTCACTAAAGCCCTCCCTTAACATGCTTGTCTTGAACAATGACAAATAACTCTATTGTTTCACCAACAAATGGAAGTTTTACCAGAACACCATTCAAAGAAATTGCTTAATGAATGTATGTGCACAATAAATTACCTGAATCTCTCGGTCTGAATCTCCCCGAAGACATTGCCTTTTGTAAGGTTGAGTGCCAAGAAAAACAAATGACAAGAGGTAGGCATGTATATTGGTAGATATAGTACATAAACTAATGTTTAATGTAGGAACATGCAAACAGCTACATGCATTTGCAGAGTGAAGTTGTCCAGTATGAGAGCACACCACCACCTCCTGATCAGGGGCATGTCATCCTGATTTTTTTTAAATAATAATAATAAACAATTATGCATGTCTGTTTATTTAACGTGAAATATGTAATGAGGTAATGACATAACTCTGTAAAATCAAATCGGAGCCCCAAAGCCATGTACAGAGTGTACGGAGTGTACAGAGTGTACGGTGTACTGTACAGAGTGTACTGTACTGTTACAAGGGTATAACTTACAAGAATTAACTACAACAACAATTAAAATTTAACCTACCATCAGTATTTATCAACATGTTTAAAGTTCAGTCTTTACTACTGCACTTAAATGTGACTAATGTTTTAAGATCACTAGGCATACTAACTTTTATACAGTATATTATATTAGGGTTGCAGCAGTATGACAGTTTCATGCTTAAAAGAGTTATATCTCACACATTTGATTATTTACAGTACTGTAATGTACTAATTGCTCTATATCAAATCTTAAATCCCAAGATCAATTTTTTAGCCTATGCTATTTTCAGTAGTTGCCCAACTAAACACTATTTATTGCATCCTTTCCATCCACAGTTTACGGATGTAAACTGTGGATGGAAAGGATGCAATAAATAGTGTAAACTGTGTAAACTGTGATGAGCTTTGTATCTAGTCAAAAATAAGGCAAAAAGTCTCAAATTATGTTACTTTTATCACACAATTCAAACAGTAAATGCAGTTTTGAAAATCAAGGCTATGTGGTGTGACAGCAGAGGTGGGCAGAATATCCAAAAGCTGTACTAAAGTAAAAGGACTGATAGAAATAATTAAGTAATAATATTTATTGTTATTGGAGTAGGAGTAAAAAATGATGCAATGGCAAAATATTTTTAAAAATATAATATATTTAAAAATGACTGACATTTGATTGAGCAGGACCATATACCATTAAACCACGATAATTTCTGAAACTGCTTTTGTACTGTGAAAATCTCATACCACTGCAACCCTAAGAAGCACAAGTTTACAAGTCAGATTCAGGTGTAACTGCTGGCTTGTTCCTATTATCCATTTGGTTTTTGGTCTCCGTCTTTGAAAGAGATCCTTATAAAGCAATAAAGATATTACCAGATAGAACAGATTACTCTACATGGAGAGGATTATGCCAAACAAATATGTGATACTCTGTTTTTGTCAAGAAGTCTAACCTCTGTTTGAAGAAGCGGAAGTTGTCGATGTGGGATCTTGTCTTTTTGCTGTATGACAAAACATCTCCACTTTCAATGCAGGGCTCTCTCTAATGCAAGATTCAGCTCCAAACCTCTGTGCTACCGAGCTGCAGGTGCTTGCTCGTGCTGTACGCTCAGACCCACTACACAATCAACAATTATTCATAAAAAAAGGAGAAATTATTAATTCATTCAAAGTTTAACAATAAAGTAATTTATTGCTCTCGATTTAAAATAAACATAATTAACATAAATAAACATAGCTTTAAAAAAAACTAAACATATTGCTATTGTATTAGAGCAAGTTCTTCAAGATTCTTTATTCATGACATTTTTTTCAGAAGGAAACTATTCCAGATTTGATTCACGAACATCATGGTACATTTTTAAATATGTTTATATAAAACTACACAACCATTTTTACTCACCATTTGGAATCACAATCAACGTGGAGTGTCGTTCGTTCGTTAATGCTGCCACCGTTGCCTTTTATCGCAAACTGCCCCCTAGGGGGTCGGAGGAAAATGGCAAAGGCGGGAACAGGAAAATAGGGGCAGGGCGACACGGATAATTTATTTGAAGACCGTAATATTGCATCCTATTGTTTTTAATTGCATTTGGATAAGCGTAAACTGTACTCTGTGTGCGGGTGTTATTCGATCTTTTGAACAGCAGGAGGCGCTGTGTTCGAAAAATGAGGGGTCTGAGAATGCGGGACTCTCGGTGGGGGACTGTAGATGCAGGCTCCGAGTCTGCAGCTTCATAATATTACTGATTATCAGAGTACCCCAGAGTGCACTCTGGACGATGGGGTGGGGCGACACTTTTGGGTGGAGCGACCAATATTATGAAGCTGCAGACTCGGAGCCTGCATCTACAGTCCCCCACCGAGAGTCCCGCATTCTCAGACCCCTCATTTTTCGAACACAGCGCCTCCTGCTGTTCAAAAGATCGAATAACACCCGCACACAGAGTACAGTTTACGCTTATCCAAATGCAATTAAAAACAATAGGATGCAATATTACGGTCTTCAAATAAATTATCCAATAAATATTTGCGTTCCCTGCTTAATGCCTGTGCCAAAAAAACTCATTGTTACTGATGGAAGGGATACAATTACAGATTGAACTATCTTCTGAAAAATAGTCTATGTGATATTTTATTGCTACAATGTTTTGTTTTTTTATATATATATTTTTTATTCAAAATTCAAATTCCACTTTTTCTTTCAGTTCAACCTATAATGGTCTAATTAACATTACCATGCTAACATAACAAAATCTGTTTTTTGATATTTTGAATGCGAAGCAAAATAAATCAGAATAGACAAAACACCAATAATAAACAATTCAGTAGGCTACTTTATTTAATGATCACCTAAACATCATCTTACTGTAAAGAAAAAAGGAAGAACAAACTGTGTTCGTGACTTTACTTTTCGTCTTTAATTGCATTAAAAAAACTCATTTATAAGTCGCTTTGCATAATCATAAAATGATATGTTGCTGGAATCGGAAGGGGCAACTCCATCGATGTATGGTGTACTGGATACGATAGCACATGTCTTATGATCTTTCAAAAAGAAAGAAAAAAAATTCAAATTCATGTTGCACTGCTCTGACTGTAGAGTGTCCCTTGAGATGTTTTTGAACTTTGGACAACTTTGTGGGTTTGAGATTTATGGGGGCACAAAATGGGCAGTAAAAATAACTGCAGCATTTATGACATATAAAAAAGTCCGAGGTTAAAGGCTAACGTTAGCTATCAAAATATTTTCGGGGTAAAGAGGGCGAAAAAACATAACGGCTCAAATCTTGTTACAAACTACCTTTACAAATATTAAATGGACTATTCTTATGTTGTATCGATTAGCTAAATTAGTTTTATTAAAAAATAAATCAAACGAGCTATTACGATTCTCTAAATAAAATTGAAGACAGCCTAGTCACGTTTTGGCTTAGGTTCTGTTTATCTGATACAATTTGATAGTAGGCGCTGACTCGAAAAACGAGGGGTCTGAGAATGCGGGACTCTGGGTGCAGGGGGACTGTAGATGCAGGTCTCCGAGTCTGCAGCTTCATACTACTCATAATCAGGGCCGAGCGCGTGGCCCCCGACGACACGCCCACGGTTGTACAACAACAGTCACGTGACACCCTGAACGTTGCATAAATTAGGATGACAGTGCTAAGCGACGTTTTGTAACATCCATTAAACCCCCCAACCCGAAGCAGTTTAACAATGTTAACGGTTAGACCACTTTGACCGAGTCAGGCTTGTTTATCAGAGATGTTGTCATGGATCGCAGCTCTGCTGACGGGAATCCTCTCCGCGCATCTCGCGCAGCGCTTGTGTTTTCCATACTTCTGGAAAGACGCTTTGTATTTAATGAAAGTCATACGGTACGGAGCGCGTCTGGAGATCTACAAAAGATCCTCGCGAGTCGTGACGGTCGTAGACAGGTTTGTTCAACAAGCCCAGCGGATCCCTCAGAAAGCCTTTGTGGTTTATGAAGGTGTAACGTACACATATGGAGAGCTCGAGGCGCGCAGCAACAGGATCGCGCGCGTGTTCCAGGACGCGGTGAGGACGGGAGACACGGTGGCGCTCCTCATGAGCAACGAGCCCGACTTCATCGCGGTTTGGTTCGGCTTCTGCAAACTGGGCTGTGCCGTGGCGTTCCTCAACACCAACATCAAGACCAGATCACTGCTGCACTGCTTGAACTGCTGTGGAGCCAAACTACTGGTGGTCGGAGCAGGTAAACTCATTCTGACACTTTACAACTACACGACAATGCTCTCAAATGTGTAACTTATGTAAGCGAACGAAATTACTAGATCTCTTAACATTAACCCAGGGGAAAGACCATTAAAACATGTTTTTTTTTGTTTGTTTTTTTTTTACCTAATGTATAAATATAAATGGGCAAACATAAACTGATGTTTGCCGATTTATATTTACAAAACACAAAACATGCTCGCAAATTAGCTAAAAATAAGCGATTTGCGATTTTAACTTGAAGAATAAATGATGACAGATTGACCTTTGACCCTTTAATCCTTGACCTATTACCCTGGTAACCTGTCTGCAGGTGCTGGGCTTTTCTGTTTGAGTAGGCTTTGCTCGAGCTGTGCATTATAAACATTCTTAGTGTTCAAATATTCACATTTGAATCTATTATAGCCTATCTTAAGTAATCGTAACAACAGTAACAGTTACATGCAACTAACCATAAACCAGCCTCTATTACTAACCCAATAGTAATGTAGTTTATTAGTTTATACATGTAGTTTATTATTATTACTCAGTACTTAAATGTATAATTACACTGAAACCTTATTATATTATTTAAAGGCATACAATGTATGAAGTGAAACAATAAAGGTATAAAGTTATCTATAAATGGGTAAGCATTTATCATTTATAATGTGTCGTCTTTATTCGTTTTTCAAACAGTACAAACTGAGTATTATGTTGACGTTTGGGTTTGTTTAATTTGTTATTTTTTTGCTCGATTGTATATTTTATATATTTTCTTTTATTTGCTTGCGTGTATATTTTGTTTGTTTCTTTCTTCGTTTAATAGTTTGAAACACAGATTTTCATTGATGGTGATTGTGCTTGCAGATCTTCTAGGCTCTCTGGAGGAGATTCTCCCAGGTCTGCGGGAGGGTGGTGTGTCCGTGTGGGGTTTGAGTGCAGCGAGCGCTCATCCTGATGTGCACAGTCTGCTGGATCAGATGGAGAGCGCTTCACATGAGCCCGTCCCAGCCGAGCGCCGCTCCGTTACCTGCCTCAAAACCCCTACGCTCTACATCTTTACCTCTGGCACTACCGGTATGTGATGACTTCAGGACATCTCTGTTCTCACATTTTGACTTGCCCTCTCGTAACTTCTGCATCATTGAGCTTGGACTACAAAATCGGAGCGAGAAATAATAATGGCGGATTGCTCGAAGTGTTGGACCGGTAGTCAATGTCCTTATTTGGCAGTTCTGCTGCAAATACGGTGATGCGATAGTTCAAAAAACGTCATAGAAAACAGAAAAATCTGAACAGGTTGAAAAATATGACCAAAACAGAATATAAATATATAAACGAAGCACCTCTTCAGGTGCTTCGTTTATATCTTTATATTCTGATTCTTTTCTGTACTTGTAAACACTCCAAATATACAACAAAATGCATTTAAGGGCTAAAAAAGTGGATTTTGCATGATATGTCCCCTTTTAAGATGTAACGAGTACATCAGGTGTTATGGGAAGTGTCCACAGTCCCCGGACAGAATTTTGAGATCGCAATAGATGTGACGGACTATAATGCGTTAAGAGCTCGCGTACTGGGGAGCTAAACCATTTTGTGCTTTGTATAAATTTAAAAATATATATTGCTGATTACTTACAATGTTTAATAGGGAGCCAATGCAGTGTTGACAGAACTGGGGCTAATATGGTCAAACTTCCTGGTTCTGGTAAGAACTCGAGTTGCTGCATTTTGAATCAGCTGTAGTTTGTTTATTAAGCGTGCAGGGCAACCACCCATTAGAGCATTACAATAACCTAGCCTTGATGTCATGAACGCATGAACTAATTGTCCAGTATTAATTTGTCATTGAGAGCATATGATGTAATTTAGAATGTATTTTTAAGATGGAAGAATGCGGTTTTACAGATACTGGACACGTGACTTTCAAATGAAAGATTTGTATCAAAGAGCACACCCAGGTAGAATCTAGTCATCCATTTTTTTTTAATATCAGCTATGCATTCTGTTAATTTTGTGAACTGGTAATTTTCTTCAGGGCGTGAAGAAATATAGAGCTTAGGATCACTAATACAATGCTTCCTAATTATATCTCCCAAGGGTAGCATGTACAGAGTGAACAGCAACGCTCCTAGTCCTGAGCCTTGTGGTATGCCATACTGAAGTTGTGATCGATAAGATATTTACTGCTACAACAATTTGATAACGGTCAGATAAGTATGATTTTAACCATGCTAATGCCAACATAAATTTCCAATCTATTTAAAAGAATGTTGTGGTCGATAGTATCAAATGCAGCTCTAAAATCGACTAACACTAATAGCAAGATACAACCACGATCGGATAATATAATCATTTGTGTGTATGGATCTGCACTTCAGATTCTGACTGGAAATAGTAGACCATCCGGGTATCTTAGGGACACTCATTTCAACATTCTACGATTTGGGACTTACTAATTCTATTTTCAAATACCATTTAGGATGGATAGTATGCGAATTGGGACGCACCATGGGACTACTGACTTGCGAAGATCCATGTTTTCATAGTGTGGATTATGTTGTTGTTACTGTCTCTTCTGCCTATAGGAGCCAGACTCTTCTGTATTGTCATGGCGTGTTTTGTGTTGCAGGGCTGCCCAAAGCTGCAGTCATCACACACTTGCAGTCTCTGAAAGCAGCAGCTGGGTTTTGGGCATACGGCGGGACAGGATGTGATGTCATCTACACGCCCCTCCCCCTGTATCATAGTGCAGCCTCGCTTGTAGGCATTGGAGGGACCATTGAATTGGGTAATTCTCTTAATCAAACCTTTTAATGAAAAAACTGTAGGGGATCACAAACCTTGATGCTTTCTTGATGTGGTAATTCCTGATGTTCATTTCATCTAATCCAAACACAGATTGGGTAAAATAATCTTTATGGCTTGCTCTTCAAGGGTCACCCAAAAATGATCATGTCATGTCATTCTAACCTGTATGCATTTCTTTCTAATGTGGAATACAAAAAAAGATATATAGAAAAATTTCAATCATTAAAAGATGGCGATCTCGGTTCAAACAGCCACCCGAACTTATTCCTGAATGAAAACGATTCTCCTGTGTCTAAGGCGCCGTCCACACTACTGCGTTTTCGTTTAAAAACGGAGAATTAAAACGAATACGATCTCCGTCCACACCAGCGTTTTATCTGCGTATTAGAAACGATCTCCGTCCACATTAAAACGACTGAAAACGCGGATCACGTTTCTGAAGTTTTCCTCAATCGTCTTGGAAACGTTGCCACAGTTCGTCTGGACTTAGGCCCCGTCCACACTACTGTGTTTTCGTTTAAAAACTGAGACCTTTTGCTACGCTTGCGGTTTGCACCTCCCGTCCACACTAAAACGGGAAAAACGAAGACCTAAAACGGAGAAGTTTAGAAACGCTCCAGCTGCGTTTTGCGTTTTGAATCTCCAGAGGGCGTTTTAGTGTGAACGAGACAAAACGGAGAACTTCAGAAACGCTGACGCAGAGGCTGACGCTTGGCTCTATGATTGGGTGTTATCAGTCATGACGTATCCTTCCCTGATTCGCCATTCACTGTTTACACCGGCACGCGCATGCCCAGTGTTGGTGAATGGCAACCAACCATGTTCACTCGGCTCATCGTCAGCGAAAAACGCTTGGGTGTGAACACAAAAAACGCGTTGAAAAACGCTGACGAATAACGCGCGCTGATATTCGTCCCGGTGTGTACGGGTCTTAAGACTATTGCACAGTGTTTTACATATAAAAGAATAGCAAACCACAAATGTAACGAAATAAATTATATTGCGTGTGACCTCTGACATATATAGCAATTGTAAGTCGCTTTGGATAAAAGCATCAGCTAAATGAATAAATGTAATGCTTATAATAAATGAGTATATATGAATGATATATTGCATTTATCTTTATAAGTAAGATCCAAGGTCAATGACCACCAGAGCAGAAATGTCATCCGTGTTGTGTGTTTTAGATGTTCTCTTTTGGCTCGTTTCCACTGAGGGGTACGGTACGGTGCGGTACAGTACAGTACGGGTCGGGTCGGGTACACCATGATCAGGCTTGCGTTTCCACCGCCAACAGTACCCTTACTTGATAGGCGTGGTATGCTGGAAAGAAGCGATCAACGTCATTTTCGCGCGAAGAAAGCGACATAGTAAACAACAATCGATGACAGACAGCAGATCTTGTTCTTGCTTCGAGGCCTGTTTGTCACTAGAAACAAGCGCTGGCATTAGGCGTTTCCAAGAAGCCAACGCAAAGTCCGACTCAGGAGAATGATCCCGAGGACGCGAGTCCAGTAATTCTGCTAATGGAACAGCGCGTTCTTGAAAGCGGCACTGAGCTCTGCGACTCCGGTTATCTATGTATGTTTATTTTAGGCAACAATAAAACGAAATATGTTATAAAACACCACTCTGCTTCTTTTCAATACATTTTAAACATTCTAAAGCACATAAATGTGGTTCAGGCAACGCATAGATTATCACTGCATGTATGTAACGTTAATAACAAAACTAATTATAAAACAACCCTGCCTCTTTTCGTTTAAATTTAAAAATATTAAACATATTCCAGGCGATATCTAATGTAATGTATTGCATATCGCATTACAAATGTTGCAATAAACAACATTACAGATGATCTTGTAATAAAATAAATAAAAAATGACAAAACTATCTCTTTTTGTTGAATTTCAATTTTATCAATAATAGCCATTATAAAAGTATACGTAAAAGGTACAAAATACAGTAAAGCTTAAATAATATCAAGAAACAATTCAGTCAGTCAAATATACAAATTCAGCGCTCAAAGATAAACTTCACGTAGCCTTCTGCCAAAACTATTGGCCAGGAAACGAATTATAGATTCACGAGACCAAAGTTCACCTGTTAGGTTTATACAAGACGAACTATATCTCATGTTTAACCACTACAGAGACGTCCGAGTCAGCGGTAAACATCAGGATGACTAGCCGAGGAAAGGCTGTTCCAGGCGGGGGACACGAGCGCGAGCGTCCGGTGATCGCTTGGAATGGATCTCAGTCAAATTATCAAAAATCTATAAATAAACCACAGATTTGATCTTTAAAAAATTATTTTCTCGCCTGAAAAAGTCTTAAAACTACATTTCGTGACACAATAACAGTAGAATTTCAACTATATGCTTCTAATGCCCTTGTAGCACGCGCGAGTGACGATACTCTGTCCACCAATCAGCGTTCTGCAGTGAGTCTAGCTCCACCTTTTAGTACCCTTTCACTGTGCTAGGTACCCTAACGAAAGGGTACCCAAAAAGTGGAACGGTACAGTTCGGCTTTTTGGTACCATTCACAACTTTTGACAGTGGAAACGCAAATAATTGCGTACCGAACCGAACTGTACCGTACCGTACCACTCAGTGGAAACGAGCCATTTGAGTGTGTTTATTTGTTTTAATGCTATGTGCTGGTTCAGGCTGAAAATTAAGCTTTCTGTCTGCAGTTTTCCTATTATGCTCAAAGTATAGGTTTTACGCATGCGCTAGTGTATGGTACAGTGCACATGTGCGCAGTCCAATTTTTCTAAACAAGAATACTCTGTATGCTCAGCTTAAGTTTTTAAGCACATAGTTGCACAGTCAAACATATTGTGTCTGTGCTTTTGGCATTTAGGTGCGACCTGTGTCCTGAAGAAGAAGTTTTCAGCCTCTCAGTTCTGGAATGACTGCAGGAAACACAATGTCACCATATTCCAGTATATAGGAGAGCTTTGCCGATATCTGTGCAATCAGCCTGTGGTACAGTACCTCATTTCACTGTTTCCTCATGTAAATCTGTGTGGGTATATGCAGGATGTGGGTCATTCTCAGAAAATGCTGTCATTTTGCCTGATAATTTCAGCAAAATTGGTATTTATACACTTTTATTTAATGCATGTTTGGATAAATCGGTCATAAAAACATAAAAAATGTTTTTATTTCAACAACAAATTGGAGTAGAACTGATGTGATGAAAAACTTGATATAAAAATGTAAATGTCTGTATAAAACTCAGGTTTATTATATCTAAAAATATGTAGCAATTAAATTTTGACTTAATTTGAACCCTTTTATAGAAAGTTTAAATGTTTAATGGAAATTCTTTTGTGTTCCACTGAAGAAAGTAAGTTTTGGAAAATGACGTAACAATCCCTTTCCTGTGTGTTTTCTGAGCATGACTCAAATGCAGTCGTGTTGTTTTTGATGCTGTCTAGTTTTAGGTCGTTCATTTTGACATAATAAATGCTTGGTTTTAGATTGTGTAAATGAAAGCGCGTATTTTACATAATCTCATAACAACAAGAATCGCCGCGGTCCTGTTAGTTCCACATTAATGTCTTCATTATGTGTCATGCCTCATTACTGTAATTACGGATCCAGGACTTCAGAAGGGTACGTACGCAGAAGCCCACTGCAGAGTGTGTGTCTGGTCACGCAGACAAACTCTGCAAAGAATGTCTCCATGTGCTCTGCGAATCCATGAAAACTAACTTTTCGATTTGTGTGGGGTTGTGTAGCGTTCTCATGGCTAACTGACAGATGGGTCTTTTGTTAATGTTTTTCATTCACGGTTCAGCCAGCGTGTCCCAGAGTCTGTCAAAGATCTCTTTGTGTCTGTCCTCTAACGGCCCGGAGAGTCCGTACAGCGATGTGCTTGCTAAGCAAACGCACAACACATTACAGTGACAGGCACGTAAGACCAGAAGTACACATTCTGCAGCAGGAACATCCACATTAAGTGTGAGTTTTCCAAGTGGGACATGTCTCTGGTAAGAGCAGGAAATGTTGTTAGTCAGTCCATTGAGCTTTAACTGACAACACACACATCCACGAGGCTGTTGTGAATATGGAGTGGTTCTGCTGGTCTGATTGGCTCGCATTGTTCGCCCACACACGGTCTTTCTGAGAAATGCAGCACTGCAGGAAAAAAATCACTTGGACTTGCATTGAAGAATCCTATAGGTTGCATTGACATAATCAATCACCCAGATCACCCTAGCAGTGTGCTAGTGAACTCAAAACATGCATGGTCAAACACAATTCACATGTTCTTTTAAACTTTTTTTCCCCCATTAATTGCACGCTGGACTCAATCGTCAAGCATGCCACTTTGCTGGTTTCTCAGGGAATCCAAGGCATCTCTGTAGTCTGACTGAATACATTTTTTGCTAACTGCGATCTGTATATGTACATTTCTGAAATGCATGGACAGTTACCTCTGATAACAGATCACTCTAAATTGTAATGTGGACTCTGTATTCTGTAAAGCTGCTTTGAAATGATAAATATTGTGAAAAGCGCTATACAAATAAATCTGAATGGAATAGAATTGATTGTGAAAAGCTTCGTCTTGATGTGCTTTGTGTGTGTCTGTTAGGCAGAGAATGAGAAGGATCACAAGGTGCTCATGGGTGTTGGGAACGGTCTCCGGCAGGACGTTTGGAGAGAGTTCCTCCGACGTTTCGGGGAGATCCGCATGTGTGAGATCTACGGCTCCACTGAAGGAAACCTGTGCTTCATGAACCACCTCGGCAAGGTCGGAGCCGTTGGCCGCTCCAATTTCTTTTACAAGGTCAGTTCAGAAACTCTTCAATTCACCGTGGGCTTATGATTGTCAAGTTAAACGGGCAACAAAAAGATAAGCAACTCTTAGTAAATATTTAAACTAGATCTATAAGGTTGCGTCTCAACATCAAACATCGGATTGTGCCATAAGTCATTGCTTGCATCTCTTTGCTTTGATGTCAAAGACCCAAGGTCAATGACCACCAGAGCAGAAAAATGTCATCCGTGGTGTGTGTTTAAGATGTTCTCTTTGAGTGTGTTTATTTGTTTTAATGCTATGTGCTGGTTCAGGCTGCAAATTAAGCTTTCTGTCTGCAGTTTTTCCTAAATTAAGCTCAAAGTATAGGTATTACGCATGTGCTAGTGTATGGTACAGTACACATGTGCGCAGTCCAATTTTTCTAAACAAGAGTACTCTGTATGCTAAGCTTAAGTTTTTAAGCACATTGTTGCACAGTCAAACATATGAGACCGAACAAAAATTATTTACTGGAGATGCAACGAAAATAGACATGTTAATGAGTGCTTTTGTGAGGGGAAATTGAATGTCTAGTGCAGGGGTCTCAAACTCAAATTAACTGGGGATAGAGTCTGGGTCAGGCCGGGCCACATCAAGTATTAAAAAAAAAAAAAAAGTGGATTTAAGTATTCCAAAAATGGAGCACAACTGATCCAATCTTCTCAATCTTTATTATTAAAGCTGTGGTATACGATGTTAAAAATCGGTCGAGATCGTAGGGAAGTTTAAAAAAACTCATTCCGCCCCTCCACACACACCCCCCTCCCCTCTGTGCTACCTGATCCCTGACGTATTTCACGTTTCAGTTCACGTCAACGCAAGATTAGCAACACATGAAATGTTCTAAACTCCCCACCACCATTATAATACTACTAGTATTGCTAAGGTTTTCAGTAATTGTTATTGCAGCACGCAGCGCATCTTGTTCAAATTCCGATCGGCTCGAACAGAAACCTCGAACAAGAAATATAATTACTTTGACCTGTGATAGGCGATGCTAAACGGCTAACATTCCAATACCGACCGGCAGCATGAGCAAGTTGTCAAACTGATAAAAAGCCATGTAACACGTCACACCATAAAAGAATAAACCAATGTTTACCTGCTCAACAAAAAGTCATCCGTGTCAGCGTCGTTTTCAGGCCCAGATCTCCCTGAAGCTTTCTCCAACGGTCAATGAAGGATGCTATATTTATCCTACTTAGAGTCCGGCGTTCTTCACATTTCTTTTTAATCTCTGATCTTTCCTCCACAGACTTTCTCTTTCGTCCAAACTTTACAGTAGGGGCAAGCAGGGGCCGCTTGCTGTTGTCGTTTATATTTATATTTTATCCATTGCTTTATCCATTGCTGATCTGACGCTACTAGCTAGCTACCATAGACAGTCTGTCAGCTGTTTGCTTGCACATGGAGGGGGGCGGGGGTGGGTGCGGTTGGGTTGGAGACGCGAGCGCCAGGCGGAGTTTCAAGTGGAGCTGGTGATTGGATGAGAGCAGTTGACCAATATAAGCTGTGCGGCCGCACAGCTTACATTGGTCAACTTTTCTGCGGCTGTACAGCCAAAAGAGTGAATGGATTTTTTCATTCTTTTTTCTATTCATATTGTTAGGATTGTACTATATAACCATAACCAGCATCTAAACGAGGATATTAATAATGAACAATCTTTGAAATCGTATACCCTAGCTTTAACGTTTCTTCTGAACTGTTCCTCTAAATTTGAACATTCCTTTCTGTACATGATTGGTTCTTCATGAGATGTCCTTCTGAAAGTTGAAGTTAATTTTACAAACTTTCTTTGTCTTTTTCTTATACACAACATCTTTGTGATGATAGTCATATTTGCTTTTTATTTTGTTTATACAACACTATTATATTGAATGTTTTTTTTTTCAGAAAGGCACATTTCCTTTTATTACTGACAATATATAAAACAATTTCTGCTTTTGAAATACAAATAATTCTTTCTACACATGTATAGTGTCAAATTGTCAAACTGACTTTGCACATATCAAAGCAAACCTTCTTATCAACTTGTTGGACCAAGTTCATTACATGAACTAGTTCAAAGTTCAGTTCACAAATTTTAAAATGAACTAGTTCATAGTTCTTTTTTTCCATAAGTTGCTGCGAGCTTCTTTTTTATTATTAGGCTATTATTATTGCCACAGCCCATATACAACCACAGATAACAATCATTTAATCGACAGGCAAAGCACAGACATGTAAGATTTTCCCATCTTCACCGACCTCATAAAACCCTTATATGGCGCTTTTCCACTGCATAGTACGGTACGGTTCGGTTCGGTACGGCTCACTTGTGGTGCTTTTCCACTGCATGGTACGGTACAGTACGGTTCGCTTCAGGTCGCTTTAAATGGTACCTGGTCTGTTGAGGTTCCAAGCGTACCGTACCGGTACTAAAATGTGACGCTAAACACTGCAGATCACTGATTGGTCAGACAGAATCGTCACTACCAGCGTCACTACTAGCGTCATTGGATTTGCGACACGAGACACGAGACACTTTTTTAGCAGTATTTTTGTTTTGCTGCCATCAGCCTCATTTTAAACACATTTTTTCGTCTAGCAGTTAAAAACAACCAGATACCGAGAATCAGGAACACCATCCCCTCGATAGTCTCCATTGTTCCTGTGTTGTGGGTTTGAAAATGTGGCGCTTTTAAGATGATGTCATGGCAGTAGAGGCGCGCGCAAATAACGATCAGTCCCACACACTTTGAAGGGGTACTGCAGTGGAAACGCAAAGCGAGCCGAACTGTTCCGCGCCGAGTCGAAGCGTACTGGGCCGAACCGTACCGTACTATGCAGTGGAAAAGCGCCTTTAAATGATCTTCCGACGCCTCCTCGCTCCTCGGTTCACAGCCACTAGAATGAACGAGTTCACTGTAACGTTCATCAGGCAGTAATAGAGTAGGCTACGTTCAGTTCACGTTCGCCCAAAATATGAACGTGTTCTTGAACTATCGTTCATTGAACGCGTTCAGACACAACACATATTACAAGCTAAAAAATAATTATTCTCACATTGTTTTAGAGCAGAGGTATCCAACACGTCTCTCGCGAGCTATCAGTAGCTGTGGCCTGATTTGGTGGTGGTAGCTCACATATTTTGCACGCTCAAGTACGTTTCAAATGTAGGCGCGCATCAAGCGCCCAGCGCGCTCATAATTGAAGCGACGTGCTCATTTTTTCCAGGCGCAGTATATTTGTACTTCGTGGTTGTCTATGACAACCATTGACAACAAACCCACCGTAAGTTGTCACGAGACTATATATGGTAGCCCATAAGGGATAGAAATAATAATAATAAAAAAACGTGGCAAACGCAACGACGGGCAGCACTAACATTAAACTTTAATATCAAGTAGGGGGCCACAAAATATCATTCGGCCCGCGGGCCGCGAGTTTGAGACCTCTGGTCTAGTGTTATAGGTTGTCTGGCATCAGTTATCTGGGATTTTTGGATCCCTTTGATCAGCAAGGAGGTTTGTGAATTATTTATCTCAGGGGAGGGAGCGCCGTACATCAGTTAATGGAAAATCTGGATGCCGCTCAAGTAGCCTTTAATGGACCCGACTTGTAAGCCCATAACACTATTAAAGTGTGTATGTCAGGTTAAATTTGTAAGTATGATTAACACAAAATAGTTTGGGGAAAAACACCTTTGTCAAGTTGATGTATTGTTTTGTATGTTTTTCAATACCTAAAGGCAGAATATAAGATGAAAAAGTTCGTTATTTTCAGTCCTCACTTGAAACTGCTCCTCCGCCCAAACGAATCGCTTGACGTCATAAGAGGGAGACGTCTCCCCAGGTCGCTGAGAGTGAGTCAGTGACCTGTGTTGGTAATTGTACGAATGACAGAGTGAGAGAATTATTTGATTAGGACATTTATTTATTTAGTTATATAAGTTAGGTAGTTAGTTAGGTGTACGCAGGAAACAGGTTTGCCAACCGCAATTAAACCCTGAAGAAGAAGAAGAAATGTATATGCAGGTGTATTATCACGATGGTGAATTACTGCGTTTGTGCTGGGTGCAAAAACACCATTAAAACCAGTCACAGACACCACTTTTTGATGACAGCCGCGAGACTAGAAAGATCTCAGAATATCAGCAGTGAACTCCGTCTCCGATCGGCACGCAGGGATAAAAATAAATAAATTAAATGCACTTCGGCAAACCTGACTGTGGCGAGGGGGCGTGATTTTTGCAAAGTCTGTAGCGGGAGAGAAAGGACTGAGCCGTGTGGTGAGTAAGTAGGTCAAGTGCAGATGATGCACACCTGTGTTTGATTGCAGTAATTTTCCGTGGAGAGACCATCGTATATAACCGGCGAATGAGAGAGAGAGAGAGAGAGAGAGAAAGAGAGAGAGAGAGTTGGACTGGGACTTCGCACGCGGCTACTGCAACCGAGACTGAGAAGCAAGTCTTGATCGCGTGTTTTGTTTATAGTGGCGAATGCGCTACTGTGCGCCTCGTTTCTTTTTTTTTTCTGAATAAACGCGAGTCCCAGTCACACCGACCCTGTCTTCTTTCCACACACACTGAACCTCTTCACACTGACCTTTTCTGATAGGCTACCGCGCATCTCTACCGCGTATCTAACAGTAGTTCCGCATTAATTAATTTGCACGCAAGTTTTATTTATTTCAACCCTGTGTGTATATTCATGCACCGAACCGTGATGCCCATACGTTTCGGTTCAATACGAATACATGTACCGTTCCACCTCTAAGTTATGCCTATACTTACCAAGACACCTGACCAACTCTCCACTGGTTCTCTTCACACCAGATATTTATGTTTCTTCGATAGGAATTATTTAAATTTCTGTTTGGTTCCTCATCTGTCTCACGGCTGGGAGGCTCAAAATTGTAAGGCTGTGGGCCATCGTAGGTTTGAGGGAGATTTTAGATCTCCTCAGACTCAAAACTCTCCATACTTGAATAGAACGTTTTTGTCACATCTCTTTAAGGTAGGAAATAAAGGAGGTGATTGAAAGGAGAGAGAAAAAAAATCAGGGAATGGCATGCTATTGAGATGTGGAATGTTTTAAAACATTTGGCTGAAAACAGTTCCCTTTCGAAAGGGAACTCAACACCGCGTTGATGACGCATTGGGGAACGCCTCAGGCATGACAGGTGTCTGAAATCATAATCAAATCAAGGCAATCACATTGACCGTCGACAGCCCGTGAATCACTAGCGCGAATGATTAACGTGCAACCTGCTAGTATATAAGGGCACCTTGCAAACATGACAGACCATCTTATCGTCTTCAGGGACTGTTTGTCTGAATCGCTAGTCAGGTAAGAAATGAAACGTACAGAGAAGGCTAAGACTTTTCAGTCTTCACTCCGGGTGATGCACATGATCTGTGCGTTTTTGTCTGGGAGAAGAGCAAGCACGGGAGGTTCTCGAGGGAGCACTCTGTGCAAACTGTGAGTGTTTTTCCTTGAAAACACTCCACTCTCGTCTGGCCCTCTTCTCGAGTGAAGAGTGCTCATCATCTGGATCTCGTGGTTCAGGTCCCGCTCGCGCTTAGGCAGAGCGCCAACTCGCATCTTGGGGCTCCCAGATGGAGCTCGTCGATCACTTTGAGAGGGCTGTAAACCTCTCAGATGACTCGACGACTGATGAGGGCAAGTTGCAGGTTAATGAGGAAGCTTTTTCTCCTAATGTTCCTGCAGCTAGTGCTCTTTAGGTGGCGCAGGGGATGGTGGAGGAGGTTTTTGATCAGGTAAATACTGAACCTTCTCGGCCACCCTGCCCCATGTATGCAGAGCTGCTGGATGTTGTGGATAGCGCTGCCTGCTCGCGGGGCTCGATGATCGGTTTCTCCCTGGCCATAGTCCACCAGCTCAGGTGAGACTTCCATTCCTTCCTGGCCTGCACACTGAGGTCGAGAAGGCATGGAAGAGCCCATACTCTGCTCGTATCTACCAACATCAGCGGGCCCATTGACGAGACCTCCAACCCTGCCATCCAAACCGCATAAAACAACAACTCGTTTGAATGGCAGGGCATACACTGCAGCAGGTCAGGCTGGTGCTGCCCTGCACACCATGGTGGTGCTGCAGGTGTACCAGGCCCCTCCGTGTCGGAGCAGGGTGCCGAGAAGAAGGATTTGAGGGAGGTTATACAGCGCAAACGCACACAGCATCGGTGATGGATGACCTCCCCAGAGGGCCATTAATTTGGCCCTCTCCTCTTAAAACCGACTGCCCAGCATGATAACACCGGGCCTGGGGATGGGCCTATGATGAGAACGATGTTCTGATGGCCCGCCTAGGCTTGGGTTAGTGAGAACGCCTCTTCCAGGCTTGTAAAGTGGTGGACCCCAGGTTCATATTGAACTGTCTGGCAAGTTTTCACTCTGCACGCCGCAGGTGAGCTGTTTAGTCCATTAAGAGGGCTTTTATATATATATATATGTGTGTGTGTGTGTGTGTGTGTGTGTGTGTGTGTGTGTAATGGCCAGTTGGCTGTTAGCCACCTCAGGGTAGAGTAGTTGGTCTCTCTCTCATAGAATTAATTGAAGTTTGACTAACGCTAGAGCTTCAGATCGATCTTATGTCCAGCCCAGTAGTCGGGTCCATCTGACTCTGTCTTGGGTACATCGCCCCCTTGAGCTCTGTCTTGGGTTTTCAGTGGGCTGAGCAATTCTGCAGCCCTTGTACAGAATTATAATAACTATTTTTTCGCGAGGCTGTGGCCTCGTGAGGGTCGCCTCTGTAGCTGGCCTAGGCTGTGCCAGGGATTGTGAGGCACTGTACTAAATAATGCATTTCCGCCTCTGACACTTCACTTAACATGTATTTAGGTTTCTGTGTCCCTGTATGACAGCCTCCTCCCTTGGGAGTCGTTAGGCCAAGGCCCACCCTCTTCTCTGCATTCTGAGGTAAGATGAATGTAGCATGGTGCAGAGGTATGATTTATAAAGATCCTGGGGTAGGCATCAAATAGGCCTCCTGGTACAACGTGTCTTTATTGAGACTGGAGAGACTTGCTCTGTCTGAGACTGGCTCTGTCTGCCCGACCCTGCCGTGCAGAACTAGCATACTTATCCTGGCCACCAGTATAGGCTTCACTTACCTCGCTGAGCTACTGCTCGAGCGTCGGTTGTAGGGCCGCTTCCCTAGTGTTGGGCACAGATTTATTTCCGTCACCCCTAGAGCCGCTGACAGGCCCACACCCTGGTAAACCACAGGTATTGTTATCAGGTAACAATAATTAGTTGCTATCAGGTAGTAGGCCCCTCAGGCCTCCCTGAAGGCGATTTCCCACTTAGGATGGTTATCAGGTAGTAGGCCTCACCAGGCCTCCCTGAAGTTTAATACCCAGATACTATGGATTCCAGGTAGAAGGCCTCACCTGGCCTCCCTGAAGCAGAATTCCCACATACTGTGGTGATCAGGTCGAAGGCCTCACCAGGCCTCCCTGAAGGTGAGCTCCCACATTCCCTGTGGTCATCGGGTAGTAGGCCTCACAGGCCTCCCTGAAGGTGAGCTCCCCACATTTCCTGTGGTTATCAGGTAGTAGATCTCACCAGGCCTCCCTGAGGGTGAGTTCCCCACGTACTATTGTTATCAGGTAGTAGGCCCCTACAGGCCTCCCTCAAAGAAAGCTGACCACATGCTGTGATTTTCAGGTAGTAGGCCCCTCCAGGCCTCCCTGAAGGTGAGCTCCCACATTCACTGTGGTTATCAGGGTGCAGGCCTCACCAGGCCTCCCTGAGGGTGAGTTCCCCACGTACTTCACTATCAGGCAGTAGGCCCCTTCAGGCCTCCCTGAAGGAAAACTGACCACACACTGTGGCTTCAGGTAGTAGGCTTCACCAGGCCTCCCTGTGAGTGGTTTCCTAGCGGTGCTGGGTTGAGGAAGCTAGTGGCCTCTTGCTATCAGTTCAGCTGGTCTTAGCAGGCAGCTGCTGAAGGCGAGCTTGCGCCTTGGCTCATCTAAAGTGTTCATTCTCTTCTACTGGTTCCCTATTGAAACCTCTTTTTCTTGCCTACAGCCTGGTTTTGCCTACCAGGTGGACCATGTGCTCCCCTCATCGAGGGTCACTATCAGCACGCATTCTCTTGTGTTTTGAAACAATTTATCTAGGTTAAAGTTAGAGCGAGCTGCCATGACAGAAGGATAAGTCCTTTTCATGTTTAACGAATCAAATCATGCATTTTACATGGTGCAAAGAACTGCAAAGTAAAGTAAGCGCTGCACCAGTTTGAAAAAGGTAACATAACGAGCGTAACGAGAGAGAGATGTTGCTGCGTCTGTATATTAACATTTCTAATTGTTTAATTAAGCCCTTGAAGGTCCCCTTAAAATGCCTGGCTTGCCTGCCCTATTGCGGCGCCTGTGCATACAGGTACAACACTGTTGTCCAAAAAAATTGGTGAAGGGGGCCTTTGAGACATCCTTGCCCAGGGCACATCATCAGCATAATCCATCCCTGCGCATAGTGCGTAAAAATCGGCAACGCTCCGCTGATTCCACTGACATTGTGATGGTGATTGTGACGGTGGCTAGCGGCGCCGGTGGGCTGTAGTATTCACAGGCCGGCTCAAGTATCACTGCTATCATGGTTAGTTGTGCTAGCGCCATCTTCACTTGAAGCAGCAGAAATGTTGTTTGCATTAACAGTGTTTGCATTTTTAAAAAAGCTGGAGATTGTTGGTAGCTTTTGTAGTAATTGAGCTTTCTTGCTTCTTTGTACTTTTTGTGCTTTCTTTTCATTGATCCACTTGGTTGTGGTTTTAAACTCATTTTTGTTTTGGTTTCAGTCTTCTACACGTGACTTTTATATTACGCAATCGCAATGCTTTTTACTCGCCTCTAGATGTCCTTCTCAACAGCGCAGCAATACATTAAAATTATTTATTTGATTTATTAACTAGTTAATACTTTACAACTGAAAAAAACACACATTATTTCTCAATATTTAACACAATTTTACTGAAAATAAAAATAAAATAAGAATAATTATTTGAAAAGAATAGACAGTAACTTTTACAAGGTCCCCTGCTGGCCCGTGCATTAATCCGTGCCTGACTATGCGCCTCTTACACTGACCTACGCTTTATAATAAATACAGATACAAACAGGGCTAAGATTTAATACACCTGTGGCAATGGGTCTGCAATGGGAATTCAGGAATTAAGTGGTTTTGTCCTTATAGTGTGTGTATGTGTATATAAATGGCAACGCAATATACCAGAACCAGATAAACAACACTATTTGTACCCTAGAGGAAATGGCAGTACCACTGACATTCATCACAGTGAAAAGAGGCTCCTTGTCTGTGAGGCTCTAAATAAATAGTGATTGAAGTTTACATATAATTGTTATAATTGTAATTATAATTATTACCTCATCTTTATTAGAGAAATCTTTTTGTATGCATATGCAATCAAGATGTTTAAATCTGTTTTTAGGATCATCAAGTTCAAATTATTGTAGTTAATATGTCAAATAAATAATAATATTATTGCATCAATATTGTGCATGTGTTGTACATTGTCTTTTAAATTAAACCGTGTGTTATCATAAATATCGGTTGACCACTAATTATAATCAATGAAGATAACTACATATCAAGCTCATTAGATTTAATTAGGAGGAAATAATTAATAAACATATATCTTAGAAATGTTTTTAAAGATACAAGATCTGCATAGATTATAGTCCTTAAATTTGAAATATTTTTCAGCGTTCATGCTGAAGGTAGTGTTTGTTCATATCAGTCTTATCTGTTTGAATGATGATGTCATCCAGCTGATATTTCTCCATAGGATCATGCTGTCTGTAACGCAGAGTGTTCTGATTGTTTTTGCAGTTGATTTTTAAGTATGATCTGGTGAAGTATGATCTGATCAGAGATGAGCCTGTGAGAGACCACAATGGATTCTGCCAGCATGTTCAGAAAGGTGAGTGCATCAGAAACGTTCGAAGAAAGATTCAGCCCAGCCAGTGTAATTTACTGACAAAACATTATTTTAGCGTTTTACACCTTTGGTTTGGAAGTCTGCACAAGCTTTAAACTGAAGCTTGAACTTTAACTATGACAAGATCATTTTGACCCGAGCCTACTGCTGGTAAATCTTAAGACCAAACTTGCCAAACCTGTCCCAAACTCGAAAGTGCTTTCTCACAACACATAACCTTTCACAATATACTGTATTTCAGGATTGCATGCAAAAATTAAGAAGAAAAAAACAACAACCCCAGCTTCATCATGACAGGAACTGCCTCAGCACACGAACAAAAGAGAAAAACACATATTTGCCTGCAGTATTAATCTTTCCTGGGTTACCAACAGGTGTAATTTAACAGTCACATAAATCTCTCTTGGAACTTGTCTTCAAAACAGAGTTTGCAGAAATTATTGTCAACTGTTCACACAGACTTTTCCTCATCAATGTGAAGTAATGAAGAGTTGTGAAGGAAGAGAACTGCATTGAAAGCTGATGGTTTCAGTCGCTTTGGATAAAATCTGTAAAAACGCCTGCTAAATGAGTAAAGAGAGGTCCAGTGTTGTTCTGATAATTTGCAGAACACTGGTAAATGTGAACACACCTTAATGTCTTTACAAATCGTGTCCATTCAATTGAATTTGCCCCAACGGAGTCCAGTCTACGTGTAGAAACATATCAGGGCCCGTATCCCTAAAGATTCTGAGAATCCTCTCAGAGAGCTCCTAACTTAATCTAAAAATTCCTTGCAGGAGTTTTAGCTTAGAAGTGATTCCAGAACATTTTCAGTGAACTCTGAGCAAGGAATGGATGGAAAATCCTATATTAGTGAGGAGGTGTGGTTGACCCCGTTGCTAGGTATAATAGTCATCATTTCAAAAGCCGTGATTGGTTGATCCTACGAGGTTGATGAAAATGAACTTTTGGTGATAATGAGCAAAGGATGTACCCTCAAATAAATAAACATAATTATACAGTCTAATCTTATGCAGACTGTAATTGTAAATAATATGTCATATTCAAGAAAATATCTGAAAAATGAATAGTAAGCTGTAGGGTGTCACGGGGTAGGTGCAGGCAGACGATCAGGCAGAGTCCAAAAAGCTCCAATACAAAAGGTTTTAATAATAAATAACAGGATACAGGCAGGCGGAACACAGGGTAACATTAACATAACAACAACAACCACAGACTGAAGGAGGGAGAACTAAATACACAGGGGAATCAGGACTAAATGAGGTGAAGACAGGTGAAACAGATGAACAGGACGCTGAACGGGAGGCTGATGAGGGAGTGAGTTCAGGTGTGCAGACGAGAGGATCATGGGAAGTGTAGTGCTGGAGACGCAGACAGGATGGTGCAGACGAAGGACTGTGACAGAACTCCCCCCTCCCGGGAGGCGTGACCTCACGCCGCATAACAGAGGAAGGAGGGGGGACGAACTGGGGGCGGGGCGTGGCCAGGGCGGAGCAGGCTGAGGGCGTGGCCAGGGCGGAGCAGGCTGAGGGCGTCCCCAGGGCGGAGCAGGCTGAGGGCGAGACCAGGGCGAGCAGGCTGAGGGCGAGACCAGGGCGGAGCAGGCTGAGGGCGAGACCAGGGCGGAGCAGGCTGAGGGCGAGACCAGGGCGGAGCCGATGGAGGGAGGACCCCTGGTGGAGCCGATGGAATGGAAGAGCAGATGGGAGAGGAGACCAGGGTGAAGCTGAGGAACAGATGACATATGGTGCTGAGGAGGGACCGAGGGACCATGGTGACACCGCAGGCTCAGGTGACGGAAGTGACGACAGGGGCACAGAGGGACACGGTGAGGTCAGAGGGAGTGAGGGCTGACGGGTGACTGGAAGGAGTGAGGAATCCAACTGAACCGGGGGGGTGACATGACGGAGCTGAAGGGCAGGAGAGAAGATGGAGGACAGATGAGAGGAGGCGGGAGAGGGAGGCTGGGTGGGATCCTGGTCTCTGGCGCCGGCTGGACGGTCTCTGGCGCTGGCTGGACGGTCTCTGGCGCCGGCTGGACGGTCTCTGGCGCCGGCTGGACGGTCTCTGGCGCCGGCTGGACGGTCTCTGGCGCCGGCTGGACGGTCTCTGGCGCCGGCTGGACGGTCTCTGGCGCCGGCTGGACGGTCTCTGGCGCCGGCTGGACGGTCTCTGGCGCCGGCTGGACGGTCTCTGGCGCCGGCTGGACGGTCTCTGGCGCCGGCTGGACGGTCTCTGGCGCCGGCTGGACGGTCTCTGGCGCCGGCTGGACGGTCTCTGGGGCGGGCTGAACGGTTTGGACGGGGCTGGTTGGAACCAGCAGTGTAGGGCATACAGTCTCTGGAGGGCTGGACGGAACCAGCAGTGAAGAGCACACAGTCTCTGGAGGGCTGGACGGAACCAGCAGCGAAGAGCATACAGTCTCTGGAGGGCTGGACGGAACCAGCAGTGAAGAGCATACAGACTCTGGAGGGCTGGACGGAACCAGCAGTGAAGAGCATACAGTCTCTGGAGGGCTGGACGGAACCAGCGAAGAAGAGAGCTCGGGCTCTGAGAGGCTAGACGGAACTAGCGGAGAGGGGATGATGGCAGGTGTGGTGATGATGGTGGGTGTGTGTGGTTGAGTGGTGCTGTCATCTTCAGCCTCACCAACGGTGAAGGCTGACCCACTCAACCACAACACATGGTCCAGGTATTCGGCGAAGGTTCCTGGAAACGCTGCTGCTGGGGCTTGCTGGTACAGATGATCGTCCAAACCCAGCCAAAAGACTGACTTTAGGACGTCATCTGACCAACTTACCCCAGCAGAGAGCTCCAGGAACCTGCCGACATACTCCTCAGATGAGCGTCCGTCTTGGAATAGGTTGAGGGTGGTGAGAGCTGGGGTGAGGAGAAGTCCCATGCTGTCAAGGTTTTGGTCGGTCAATCTGTCACGGGGTAGGTGCAGGCAGACGATCAGGCAGAGTCCAAAAAGCTCCAATACAAAAGGTTTTAATAATAAATAACAGGATACAGGCAGGCGGAACACAGGGTAACATTAACATAACAACAACAACCACAGACTGAAGGAGGGAGAACTAAATACACAGGGGAATCAGGACTAAATGAGGTGAAGACAGGTGAAACAGATGAACAGGACGCTGACCGGGAGGCTGATGAGGGAGTGAGTTCAGGTGTGCAGACGAGAGGATCATGGGAAGTGTAGTGCTGGAGACGCAGACAGGATGGTGCAGACGAAGGACTGTGACATAGGGGTTATAGCCTAACATTGGAATCTAAAATATGTGAAAACTTAAGCTCATTACACCCTGTTCAAACAATAATTCGTGTCTTATTTGCTCATATTAATATCCTAGCTGGCATATTTTGTACTTTCACTCCCAGGGGCTGTTCTTAATGAAGTAGAAATTGCAACGTTATAACTCAGTGTGGTCTTAACGAGGGTAACACGGCTTAGCTTTTATCAATATCTGTGATGATTGCTGGCTGGTCTATTTATGAAGGCTTGTTAACAAATATCCTACAATTACAGAAAATGGATAAAAAAAGTAAAAAAGAAATTTTGTGCAGCTGCTTAGGGGAACCCCTAAGCCACTAAAAGTCCTCTTCCCTGCTCTTAGCAGATCTTGCCTTAGGAGCCCTTTTAAGCGCTAGGAATCTTGAGGAATAGCTTTTATATTTACTGGGATTTTCGTGTCACTTTTAGGGGAAATTCCAAGAAAACGTCATGACAATTTTCTTAGAATTTGGCCGCTATGAGCCACTTTTTGCACAGAAATTCTTTAGGGATACAGGCCCAGTGATCCAGCTGAGCTAAATTGCAGGCGTTCGGATCTTGTCAGTGATATTTCAGTTTTAAGACCAAACCTTTTTTAATAACTTTTTTTAAATTTGTAAAGTTATCAAAGAGTCTCCAGGGAAGGTTTGAGAAAAGGTTTTTATTTTATTTTATTTTTAAAAAAAGCCAGGTTATTTTGCATTGTTGAGTGGCTAACTAGTCATGATCACATAATCACTGAAATATGTATAATGATTCTGTAAATAAACACAAGATGACTTGAATTTTTCTCATTTGTTGCCGTTTTCTGCTAATGTGGTGTTTGTATGTTGATGATCAGGTGAGACGGGACTGCTGCTGTCGAAGATCTGCAGTCAGAGTCCGTTCTTCGGATACGCTGGAAACAAACAGCTGACAGAGAAGAAGATCCTGCGAAACGTGTTTGTCAAAGGAGACGCTTACTTCAACACTGGAGACCTGATGGCTGAGGATGAGGACAACTTCATCTGCTTCAAAGACAGAGTGGGAGACACTTTCAGGTAGAGCGGAGCACATGACCTGTTCTCACCATGATGAAACGCACTGTTGTAGTCGAGACCACCTCACTCGAGTCCGAGTCGACACCGAGACCAGAGAGAGTCGAGTCAGAGTCAAGACCGAGTCCATAGAGAGTCGAGTCCGAGTCGAGACCGAGACCAGTTTTTTACTGAATTTACTTAGAGTTTAAAAAATATGATCAGTTTAGGGTAAAAAGGCCACATAGTAGGTGGTGTTAAAAGTAATTTTATTACAATTTGTCATGCGCAGTTGCGCACTAGAAAATCACCAATCACTGGGCGTGTCAATCAATTTAAAGAAATATTTTATTAACATACATTAATAATCATGAAAAATATTTTGAATTGAACTCGAGTGGACTCGGGAATAATTCCGAGTCCTAAAAGAAAAAATGTTCGAGTACGAGTCAATTCCGAGTCCAAATGGACACGAGTCCATGACAAGACCAAGACCATTAAAATGTGGTCTCGAGACCGAGTCCGAGATGAGTCCGAGTCTCGAGTACTACAACACTGATGAAACGTGTGATCAAGCATGTAGGCATATGAGCATGCATGGTCTTATTGATGAAATTAAACTAAACAATTTTGCACACTGCCATTGTTTGCAGATGGAAGGGTGAAAATGTTGCGACCACCGAGGTGACAGAGATACTGGGACTGGTAGATTTTATTCAGGAAGTCAATGTGTATGGAGTCCAGGTGCCAGGTACTGTAGACTTCACATGAGCCAAAAACCCTTATTTTAGCTATTACATGTTTAACATACTTGACTACTATAGCTCTTTTGTTAAAATGCTTTGTATGATTGGAAAAAAAAACACTCTTTTGGCATCAGTATATAAATATTGCAAGAACATTTTTTTTAACTATATTACTCAGCCATACTGAAACATTAGAATGTCTTTTAGATTGTTTGTATATTATTTTTATAACCTTTGATTCTGTTTAATCTGGAGATATTTCATTGGAAGATAAAAAGCATCTGGGTTTCTGTGTGCAGGAAATGAGGGGCGTGCTGGTATGGCTGCAGTGATTGTGAAGCCCGAGTGCACGTTTGATAGAGAGAAACTGTTCAATTTTGTCCTCAAAGAGCTGCCATCATATGCTAGACCTCTCTTCATTCGACTGCAGGTACAAAACAAACACTAACGTGTATGTGTTTTTTTTTTTGTTTTTTTTTTGAAAAATTGAAAATCCAGCAAGTTTTGTGTGATGGGTGGGTTTTGGGGTAGGGTTAGTGTTAGGGGAGAAACTATACAGTTTGTACAGTATAAAAAAACATTGTCTATGGAGTGTTCCCACAAAGATAGTAAACCGTAAGTGTGTGTGAGTTTGACTGTGTGAGTATGACTGCCTGAGTGTGTAAGTCTGACTGTGTGTGAGTGTGACTGTCTGAGTGTGTGAGTCTGACTGTGCGAGTCTGAGTGTGTGAGTCTGTCTGTGCATCTGAGTGTGTGTGTCTGACTGTGAGTCTGACTGAGTGTGTGAGTCTGACTGTGCATCTGACTGTGTGAGTCTGAGTGTGTGAGTCTGGCTGTGCATCTGAGTGTGTAAGTCTGACTGTGAGTCTGTGGGTTGTCCCTGTTCTCTTTATGAGTAATGGGTGTGTTTCGTGGCGCAACATGTAAAAAACCAATCAGAGTGTAATATGCCATTCCATTGTAACAAAGCCAGTTGCGCTCACGCCCTGGCGGGTATGTGTGAGTCTTGTGACTGTGATTGTGAGTTTAACTGTCACTGTATGAGTCTGACTGAGTGAGTGACTGTCACTGTGCCAGTGTGACTGTTTGAATCCAACTGACTGCGAGTGTGAGTGACTGTGCGAGTCTGACTGACTGTGCGGATCTGACTGACTGCGAGTCTGACTGACTGTACGGGTCTGATTGACTGCGAGTCTGACTGACTGTACGGGTCTGATTGACTGCGAGTCTGACTGACTGTGCGGGTCTAATTGACTGCAGGTCTGACTGACTGCGAGTCTAACTGACTGTGTCAGTGTGAGTGACTGTGCGAATCTAACTGACTGCGTGTCTGACTGACTGTACGGGTCTGATTGACTGCGAGTCTGACTGGCTGGGCAGATCTAACTGACTGCGAGTCTGACTTACTGTACGGGTCTGATTGACTGCGAGTCTGACTGACTGTGCGGGTCTGATTGACTGCGAGTCTGACTGACTGTGCGGGTCTGACTGACTGCGAGTCTAACTGACTGTGTGAGTGTGAGTGTCTGTGCGAGTCTGACTGATTGCGAGTCTGACTGACTGTAGGGGTCTGATTGACTGCGAGTCTGACTGACTGTGCGGGTCTGATTGACTGCGAGTCTGACTGACCGTGCGGGTCTAATTGACTGCGAGTCTGACTGACTGTGCGGGTCTGACTGACTGCGAGTCTAACTGACTGTGTGAGTGTGAGTGACTGTGCGAGTCTGACTGACTGCGAGTCTGACTGACTGTGTGAGTGTGAGTGACTGTGCGAGTCTGACTGACTGCGAGTCTAACTGACTGTGTGAGTGTGAGAGACTGTGCGAGTCTGACTGACTGCGAGTCTGACTGACTGTATGGGTCTGATTGACTGCGAGTCTGAGTCTGACTGTGCGGGTCTGAATGACTGCGAGTCTGACTGACTGTACGGGTCTGATTGACTGCGAGTCTAACTGACTGTGCGGATCTGACTGACTACGAGTCTGACTGACTGTACGGGTCTGATTGACTGCGAGTCTGACTGTGCGGGTCTGAATGACTGCGAGTCTAACTGACTGTGTGAGTGTGAGTGTCTGTGCGAGTCTGACTGACTGCGAGTCTGACTGACTGTAGGGGTCTGATTGACTGCGAGTCTGACTGACCGTGCGGGTCTGATTGACTGCGAGTCTGACTGACTGTGCGGGTCTGACTGACTGCGAGTCTGACTGACTGTACGGGTCTGATTGACTGCGAGTCTGACTGACTGTGCGGGTCTGACCGACTGCGAGTCTGACTGACTGTACGGGTCTGATTGACTGCGAGTCTGACTGACTGTGCGGGTCTGACTGACTGCGAGTCTGACTGACTGTACGGGTCTGATTGACTGCGAGTCTGACTGACTGCGGATCTGACTGACTGCGAGTCTGACTGACTGTACGAGTCTGATTGACAGCGAGTCTGACTGACTGTGCGGGTCTGACTGACTGCGAGTCTGACTTACTGTACGGGTCTGATTGACTGCGAGTCTGACTGACTGTGTGGGTCTGATTGACTGCGAGTCTGACTGACTGTGCGGGTCTCATTGACTGCGAGTCTGACTGACTGTGCGGGTCTGACTGACTGCGAGTCTAACTGACTGTGTGAGTGTGACTGTGCGAGTCTGACTGACTGCGGGTCTGACTGACTGTGCGAGTCTGAGTGACTGCGAGTCTGACTGACTGTGTGAGTGTGAATTTGCAAGTCTGACTGACTGTGAGTTTGAGTGACTGTGCGAATCTGATTGACTGTGAGTCTGTCTGACTGACTGTGCGAGTCTGACTGACTGCGAGTCTGAGTGACTGTGCAAGTATGACTCGGTGTGAGTGTGACTGTCTGAGTGTGTGAGTCTGAGTGTACAACGGGAAAAACAGTCAGCACGCACAGCGTATGGTCTAAAAGGGAAGTCCCTATTCTCTTAATGAGTAATGGGTGTGTTTGGGTGTAACATGAAAAAAAAATCAGAGTCTGCGAGCCTGACTGACTGTAGGGGTCTGATTGACTGCGAGTCTGACTGACTGTGCGGGTCTGATTGACTGCGAGTCTGACTGACTGTGCGGGTCTGACTGACTGCGAGTCTAACTGACTGTGTGAGTGTGACTGACTGTACGGGTCTGATTGACTGCGAGTCTGACTGACTGTGCGGGTCTGACTGACTGCGAGTCTGACTTACTGTACGGGTCTGATTGACTGCGAGTCTGACTGACTGTGTGGGTCTGATTGACTGCGAGTCTGACTGACTGTGCGGGTCTCATTGACTGCGAGTCTGACTGACTGTGCGGGTCTGACTGACTGCGAGTCTAACTGACTGTGTGAGTGTGAGTGACTGTGCGAGTCTGACTGACTGCGGGTCTGACTGACTGTGCGAGTCTGAGTGACTGCGAGTCTGACTGACTGTGTGAGTGTGAATTTGCAAGTCTGACTGACTGTGAGTTTGAGTGACTGTGCAAGTCTGATTGACTGTGAGTTTGTCTGACTGACTGTGCGAGTCTGACTGACTGCGAGTCTGAGTGACTGTGCAAGTATGACTCGGTGTGAGTGTGACTGTCTGAGTGTGTGAGTCTGAATGTACAACGGGAAAAACAGTCAGCACGCACAGCGTATGGTCTAAAAGGGAAGTCCCTATTCTCTTAATGAGTAATGGGTGTGTTTGGGTGTAACATGAAAAAAAAAATCAGAGTCATCACAATCATCACAATCTCATTATTTGAATGAGTGAACATAGCCTCTCTCTATGATTGAAAACTTTATACCTTCTCCGTCTTCTGTGCAGTGCCACTTGTAACGCAAAGTTGAGATGTTGCCCAGAGATAAAAAAAAAAACAGAAGGTGGTCGAATGAAAAGATGCACGAGAGACGAGAGTTGTCGTATTTCCCCGCGTTTATAGAGCCACTCAAACGTTACACTCGTTGTCTTCTCAAAATCCGAATTACAACTTCGTATAGATGACATTGTATCATATGATACTCATTAGTTTCTTCATATTGCGTTTGTACAGAATTAACACAAAACTAGTAAAAGAACAAATATTGCAGTATGAAATGTATGGAAATATCTCCATGCTGAGCCTTTTTTGCACTTCCTGATTTCCCTTGAGAATCCTTGTCCAATGAATGGACGACCTTAGCACACGTGTGGTTTGGTTTACAAATTTTGGTTCACTTGCAAAAAGAGCAGTGTGAAAGCGAACCGTACCAAAAAAAAAAATAATAATAATTTATTTGGTCCGGACCAAAGCAAGTGAACTATCGGACTTTCCTGGTGTGAATACACCCTAAATGAATGTGTGAGTCTGACTGACTGTGCAAGTCTGACTGTGTTAGAAATGAAAGTCTTCCAAACACGAAGTGCCTTTTCTCTCCGTCCTTTTAAGTTGTGAATAGACCATACATTAAAGACTAGCGCTGGTGAAGCCAGAAAAGATAGCTCAGCTTCCCAATACGTGGCATGCAAAATTACAAGGGGAGTAATCTGGTTTTGACCAATAGAGCCATACATGACTTCATTCAGATATTATATATACGTTATATAATATTTATATAATAAGTCCATATATAGTCAATATCCGTCTAGACTTGTGGGTCCAGGAAGCCCTCTCAAATGTATAACAATGAAGAGGAAAACAGAAAGGGGAGAGGACTTGAGGTCCTTCTCACCCTTACGAAAGAAAAATATACTTACCAATATATTACGTGAAATATATTGTAATAAATTATTTTCCTTTCCATTTTCCAATTTATTATATATTGGAGATACATGGAGTAATATATTGATGATACTTATATTATACAATATATTAAATATATTGTAATATATTGCAAAATATACAAACGATTGCCGCTTTCAATATATTGAAATATACGGTAAATTAATATATAATATGTGTAATAATTATATATCCGAAAATATATGCAATTTTATATTTATAACTATCCACCATAATGTATTACAATTTGTATGGGATAATGTATTGGTAATATATGTAAAGATATAGGGTCCCATATATGTTCAATATATGGTAGAATATATTTCAATATATATTATATTCAATTCATATATATATATATATATATGGAAATATATAAATAAAATATATGTATAGATATGTGTTCAATATATTGTGGAATGTATTTTAAATATATGTAAAATTATATAGAAATATATGTACATATATATTGTAAAATGTATGCACAATATATATGCACATACTGTATATGAGAACATGCCAGCCCGTTCTCATCCTTTAACGTCATATTCGGTAGAACGCTATATGCAAAAACGGCGCTATACTACGCACATGGCACCCTTTATCGTTAAAGGTGCATTGCGCAACTTTTCATGTTAAAAATAGCCGTTTTCTAACCCATACATGCTTAAACAATCGCCTGATGGGCTGAATGAGCCCTTCTTTGATC